ACATCTGTATTCTCTTAGTAATTGTATTGTTAGATAACTGCACATCTTGTATTACTGCAATAACTTCTTGCTTATTATGAAATCCTTCAAACAACGCATCCAGCTCCCTTTAGAAATGCTTTCTTGATTAATTCGCTGTCTGAGAAAGGTTTTTTTACCTTTTTCCAACAAATGAGAAATTTTGAAGGAAGCGACTGTGGCATTTTTATTTTTATTTGCACGATTAGTAAAAATCGCTTGCTGGGCAGATAGCCTTCATTTAAGTTAAATAATTTTCCTTTTTCTCAACTCTGTTTTAGGCGGGTAATCAACGTCGGAAGCATTGTGATTAGTCTTGAAATTGCGTTCGAGGTTATGTTTCTTCAAAACTGATACAGTACTAATGAAAATCAAACAAACACACTTGTTCTTTATCTATATATATCCGTAGTCTTCTCTGCAGTCGCTGTTGAAATGATACATTCGTTGCCTTTTGCTAGAGGAACTCATTTTACGGTGAGAAAACTAAAATTAAAATTAAAGAGTTATAAAAGTTAAATCTGAGAAAATTCTTAATCTGCAACAGATTCAACGCGAGGATCTTCAAAGACAATAACAACTGATAAGACAAAACAGTGTTGCCAGTACAATAATTTTACGACTTATATTTTATTTCTAAAAGTAAGAGGAATCTCGCGGCCACACAAAAAATCGTGGCGTACCGCGGGTTGGCCACGGTTGATATTGATATAGTATATATCGGACAGTCGCGGGCGCACAAAAATACCCTCGCGGGCATATTGGCGTATATACTATTATATCTTGTCGTATTATTTTAAGTTGATTTAAACTAATAACTGCGTTCAGTTATTAATTTGATAAAAATGTTATTTAATTTGATAAAAATGTTATTTAATTTGATAAAAATTTTATTTAATTTGATAAAAATTTTATTTAATTTGATAAAAATTTTAAATAAAATGTTTTGTGTACAGTTTTATACAAATACACCGTTACACATGACATATTAAGGTGCTGACAAGATTCCAAAGTAATTTCGTTTTCCATTCAGATTTCATAAAAATGTGAATTTCTGCTTTTATGAGTGATTTGTCTGATTTAACAGATTAAAATTTCAAGAAATATAGTCGAATCATGTAAATATTGTACCCGCATAATTTTAAAATCGATAATATAACTTATATTATATGAGAAGTTAGCCCAGTTCTCTTTGATACTGACATAATTTTCCAACTATATGTAATCCTTTATATCTCATACTTGTAAATAACTATATATTAAAAGCAACCTTTACTAAGTATGCAAAAGCTAAAAGATAAACAGAATTATTAAACTAAATAAATTTAATACGAGTATAATACGGCAAGATAAAATACAGTCATGTAAAGAAAAATATGTCTTGACGGCGAAACGTCCCGACGACGAAATATCCCGACGTCGAAACGGCCACGGTGAAAAGTCCTAGACCCTGAGTTAGATGGTTCAGTAAGTACACCGGTAAAATAAATTAAGAGAATTTTCATATTTGATCTTAGATCTCCAGAACTACTAGACAGATTTTAATAAAATTTAGTGTGAATATAGGTTGATATAATACAAACAAACTAAACATTCAACAGTTATAGTAGACACACATGTTCGTGTGTAACACTCATGGGAGTCTGAAGGTCTGAAACAGCGGTTGCAGAAGACACAAAAGAAATGTTTTAATAGGGGGTATGGTCCCCTCTTACAGTCATACAGGAATGGCAGCATATTGTCATACTGGAAATAAGGGAGTTTATCAGTGCCTGTGGCAATTGGTCCCACTCATTCAACAACGCTGTTTTCAGTTCCTGGATAGTTCTCAGAGGGAAGTTGTGAGTTGCAATTGCTCTTCTCAGAGCTTCCAAGATATGCTGTATAGGATTGAAGTCTGGAGACCTGGCTGGACAATCCATCCGGCGAATATCCGCACTCTCGAGAAATTCGTCGACCAGAAGAGCTCTATGTGGCCTCCCGTTGTCTTCCTGAAAGATGGACTAGGGGCCCACTGCAGCCCGGAAAATGCAAACCTAGGGCTCCAACACCTCATCCCTATATCTCACACCAGTCACAGAGCCTCTGTCAAAGACATGGAGGGGTGTGCGGCCATCCAACATAATGCCTGCCCAGACCATTACATCGCCACCGCCATAATTGTTGATTTCGCGGACATTGGAGGGTAGGTAGCGGGTCCCTGTTTCTCTTCATATGAAAGTATGGCGAGAATCGGTGTTTAGGCTAAACCGAGAATCGTCAGTGAACAGAACGGTCGTCCATTGCTTCGTACTCGAATCACTATGCTGCCCTGCACCATGCTAATAGGACTCTCCTGTCCGTAGACGTGAGCAAACAGCTGGTCTTCTGGCAAACAACCCTCTCTCATTCAGTCTTTTGGAAACAGTCACCCTTGTTATACGGGTTCTTGTGGCTGCATACAGGTCCCGAGAGAGCTGAGAAGCTGTAGCCCCTCAGTTACGCCTCGTTAAAATGGATAAATAGCGATTTTGTCTGGCCGTCGTGGCTCTTGGACGACCTTGCCCAGGCTTTCTCTCGATGGATCCAGTATCCTGGAGCTGTTCCATAGGTTACATACGATGCTGGGCGTTAAATTAAGCTCTCTGCATATCTGGACTTGCGATTGGCCTGCCTCTAGCCTCCCCACAATTCGCCACCTTATTCCATTATCTAAAAGTTGATGGTTACTCATTTTTACTGTTCTGATGTAAATTTAACCGATTACTGCAAGATAACACCAAGAAATTCACCGAGGTGTGCTAGCGAACGCAATTCGTCTTACCCTCCACGAGCTTATAAAGCCTGTTCTTCTGCTGCCTTCGCCTTACACACACGTGTACGCTTACATATTTGCCGTACAAGATTTGCCTTTTTATCTAGAAGCAGTGGTTTTTCCTTCAGTTCAGTTCTTTTCATGCAATTCTGTAAAATTTACAAATTCTTTTAATTTATTTCACCAGTTTACAAGATGTAAATGAAATAGAAGGTTTCATCACCTTCTTCGCAGATATTCTGCCTTTTTTAATAGCTTGTAGAATGATGTCCACTTAAACTCTCCAAGTCTTGAATGTGCTTACTCAAAGGGTAATGAAACAATGTTTATTTTTTTACCATCCAGGAAGGGAAACTTTAATTTCTTATCGGGCGATAGCCTGAAATCACTTTGCGATCTTTGATTATTTAATAATGTTTCATACCTGATTCTTTTCTCCGCAATTTCAGCCTATATTCTAATTGCTTCTGATCTTTCGTCCCTTGGATATGTCGAAAGCTTTTTGTTTTAGAGTAGAAAATTCTTTTAAAAAGTATTCATAACAATATCTCTAAGTGTGTTTTTTTTACAAATTTTTAACTTAAGTCATGAAGCAGCAGAAAAAGAGCAAACATGGTATAGATAATATGTTTTAGCCTCCAACGGATCTTTTATTATGTGGCATACTAATTTGATTTTCATTGCGCGGCTAAAATTAAAAATATGAGGTCACTGAGAATATTAATTATTTTTGCACAATTTTAAGAACTTCAAAAACCGCTTCTTTAGTGTTTCGTGAGAGGGAAGAAAGTCACGACCATTATGAATAAAAACGATTACACTGACTAGAGACAGTTAAGGAACAGCCGACGTAAAAATCATTTAATCATATTTACTGAAATATTTGAAATGGTTGAAAGAGAAAAAGGCCATTTATAAATTTCAATAGATTCGAATAAGAAATTCTGGAACTAGAATAGAACGACGAAACATAATTGGCCGATAAGTACGGTGAGTCCCATTTTAGTTTTAGGATCTAGTATCAGCGCGTTGTTATTTATAGAAAAATAATCTGAATTATTTAGAGATTTCATTCGAAATGGTTACAGTTGCAGACCGTGGAACTCAATGAACAAACATTTTAGATAGTTATATTCCTATTATATAGAAAAACTGCTTGCTTTACTAATACTTCTAGTGAAAGAGATAGCTGACATTGAGATTCTCATCAACAGTCTGCAGCTAGTGCTCTTGCAGGAAAAAATGTTTCAACTAAGTAGTAACTAAGCAGTTATCAGAAACTTTAAATAACAAAATTACACTAAAAGTTCGGTAATTTGGTAATGCTAAAAGTGCAAAAAATGAAAAAGTAAAATATATAAATAATAAAATAAAAATAAATAATAATAAATAATATATATAAATAAATAATAATATATATAAATAATATATATAAATAATAAAATAAAAAATGTAAATAAATAAAATAATTGAATTGAAATAAAATCCAGACAGCGCATTATAGATAGATGTTTTCTCTAATAATATGCGTGTTTTTTCTCTGAGCAGATTGCTGTTAAATATTTAAAAAAACCAGTTGAAGCCGAATTCTGCGTGTAAAAATTTCATTTCTTTTCACTGGATCTATATAAATTTAGAAAATATTTCACAGTAATCGTTCCTCATCACACAATAATTCACAGTAATATTCTTCATAATCTAGCATCAATAATATTAGAAAAAGCTGAGTATTATTTCCTATAACTACGATCATATTCTATTATTACATAATATTCGCAAATTAAAAGAAATTACATTGTTTGTAAATTAGATATTAAAGTACTCTTAAGTATTTTGCTGTTCTGGTTCATCGCTCTAAGTTTATGGAAATACGCAGCGAAGCGTAAAAGGTATTCCACAGGAAACCTTAACCACAACAATCTTCACTGAGAAATGTGATCCACGTTTTGAACAATTAAATTTTATCTCCGAACAAATCGCCAAATTTGACATATCTTTCCCCCTCCCCTTTATACAAATCTTATTGGCGATTCTAACCTTGCTCTTAATCCCTAATCTTCATGATCCTTTTAGCCAAAGTTAAGGAATCTATTGTGTAATGTATTATTGGAACTCTAGAGCACCGTGCCATTGAGACCGTGGTAAGTCACGTGGTATCTGATTCAGAGTTTTGATTCTGGAACGCATGGAATTTTTGGAAGGATTTTGAAGTGGGTATAAAAGACCGCAGAATCAACAAAATGTCATTCAACAAACAATCATCAAGGAATAATCATGTTTTTGGTAAGTACAACAAAGTTTTACCTTTCCGTTTCTTTCGAAACCCAAGAATTGGATTATTGATTTTGAAGAATAATTTGGTAAATTGGCAGTTAAAAGCATTTTAAAATATAAATAATAATATTTTAGGAAAAGTTATTAATTCAAATGATAAAGCATTTGTTAGGGCTGTTATTCAGAATCTTTGAATTAAGGGAAAATTAATAGCAATAATAATGAAGATGAGAAGGAGGAAATGTTTCATCTCGGTAGTCAATGCAAAGACAAATTTATTTAATTTCTTTGTAATGGTTTCACCTCTGTCTGCAGACGTTTCAAATGACATAGTTGACGTTTTCAAATAGTTTAGGATGAAAAAGAAGTTCTTACCACATAGAAATTATATAGACTTTGGAAAATATGTTATTAATTAGATACTCAGTTGCATTATTATGAAGATCTAATTTATTCATTATATTAATAGAATAATTAGTCCCATTTAAAAAATTGTTTTTTTCTTTTTTTTTCTAAGAAAAATCGGATAACAAAGTAAATGCAAAAAAATCGAATTGCAGTTCTAAAAATTTATCGAAACAGCTTGCGCATTTTATTGCCACACATCCATATCTTTTTTATTTCTCGTTCAATATTTAAATATTTATTGAAAAGTAACTTTTCAAAAAATTATATTTGTTAATTAGGAATGAATGTCAAGAAAAAATTAACTATTCAAATCAGGAAGCACTAATAATTAATTAATAAATAACTTTTCTGCATCAGCTGACTATTTTGTTGCACGAGCTTACTAATTAAGAAATTTTTTATTTTGAAAATGGCAACATGAGCTAAAAAGCAGTCGTATTTGTTCATCAGTTTGTTACGGACTTAATATATCTTATATCTGTCTTCTACAAAGGTGTTTTCTAAATATTAAATTGAGATATTTTTAAAAAATTCTTTCTTAATCAAATACTATGATTTTAAGTAACTTTCAAAACGTAATTAAAATTACACATTATTATTACAGTTGTAGACTTTCCTAATTATATTTAAAATTTTCAAGCGCCTTTTTTTACTCGTCTCATGGAGATCTTAAGTCTGGATTGCTTATATTCCGATCGAAATTATTCATTTTTACAAAATTCTTTACTGTTTCTTGATATTAATACCAATTATAGCAGCAAATTAGCTGGCCCTTATACTACTCCTAAAAAAGTGAGTATACATTTTATTAACTATACTAGTTCAATTTCTAAACTGTACAAATCATCAGTTATGGGTTTGAAGATGATTCTTGAATTTTCTTAAAAATAATTTAACTAAAATGTTGAGTTAAAGCATTGCGATACAGTATGTCCTCTGTCATACCTAGAACATGTAAATGAATTAAAAAGTTCCTGTGTTTAAATTTTATTTCTTCAGAATATCATCTTAATTTGCATATAACTCAAAATTATCAAAGTTTCAAAAACTGAAATTTTTTATTGTAGTAATTACATTATTTTAAGTTATCTTGAGATAAGGAAGCATGGTAATGAAGCAAGAAATTCAGCTATTATCCGTAAAGAAAATAAAAATCTGATCATTACGTAATTTAGAATGTAAATTTTAGCTTCAAATGTCTTCTTTTCTAGAGACCTATTTTATTGTACTAAAGAGAACAATGGCAAGGAGAAAGTTAGATAATGCCTTCAAAATCTAAATCCATATTAATTTTTACTTGCCCTCAAATCTTTTTCCTTTCCTGGTGGAGGGAGGTAAAAAAGAATATTTTGGACAATTACTAATATTTTTTTTACTTCTTTTTCATCACAGTTTTTAATTTTCCTCAATTGTAAATTCTTTTTTTTAACTGCATCTTTAATATTATTGCCTTTACACTTAAAAACTACATCTTAATTATTCATTATTCCTGGTCCTTATAGTTTAATTATTTGAAAAATAAAACGAATATGAAACGTGAAGCCAATGGAAAGAATGACAATTATAAATGCTCATTTTTGTAATAGTTGCTTTCCTATTACCATTAGCTGTACCACAATGTTGAAGTATATATTCATTTAAGAATAACGATATAGACATAATGGCAAACTGTCAGTTTTCGTAATTTTTCTCAGTCTTTAGCAAATTTTAATTTATGTTTACTGACAGATTTCTAATTTCTCAATCTTTGGAAAGAGAATTTTTTAAATGAAATTTTTCATTATAGAGACACATTGCATTTAGCATAAAAAACTGAATGATTTGAAAATAACGTATTTACTTAAAACATTTAATCCCTGTTTCACTTTTAATAACATAGCTTGCTGTAATTTATAATATAACTAATAGGAAATTCTTATAAACACCTTCCTTAAAGTAACTTATAAAAAATATTTCTAACGTCATGTAATACCTTACTTGTCATGTAATACCTTACTTATAAAAAATATTTCTAACGTCATGTAATACCTTACCTTGGCTACAGAACGATACTTCTTTTTTGTAATGAAGTGGGAAAAGGCGACATTTAATGCTGTTGTAGCTCAAATCAGTATCTTTGTAACATGACATTTTAACACTAATACTAGATATCATAATCATATTTTTACGATATGACATAAAGTAAATTAATATTACTTATCACTAATGGCATTATCAAAATGGGCTGTGCATCTTAACGCATTGAGGAGGAAAAGGGAGGAGGGAAGAAAATGAAGGAAAGAAAGATTTTTTTTTTCCCTTTCCTTGTATTATGACAACAATATTTACCTCTTTCCCTTTTTCTGTGCATAGCAGGGGAATTGATCTATTTTCGATAGCATGATTTCCTGTTTGCTCGACGAAGCTCAAATTCAACGTAAGAACATATCTTGTGGCGCCATCTGTTGCATGTTTGCTAATATTTGCTAAATTTCAGATAATTTATTTATAAAAACAGAAAAGAAACAATGAATAAGGAAAAACTGCTTTTTAAAGTTACTTAATAACATTACATAAATATTGTGATATTATTAGTGAAAGAATTGTTAATCATGCAGCTAAATGTAGCAAATATTCTTCTTAAATGCAAGAAGAATTAAAATGTTACAGATCTAATCTCTGCTTGTATCTTCCGTGTTTGCCGGAGTAACATTTTCTTGATGACATGTTAATGAAATTTTAAAATGCTGAAGTTATAATCAACACATTTCTGTTAGTTAAAGAAGCTTTACGAGGGTATAAAAGAAATACACACGGGCTTTCAATTTTTGAGCGAAATATTTCACTAATTTATTTTTCTGAAGTTTTCTTACCAAAATTTAAATGTTCATAAACTCAAACTAAGTTTCTAAAGTGTTCATAACATTACATAATGTAAATCTGGGAATTAAAATATCTTAAAAGGGTAGGCCGAAAAGTATTTTAAGAAAAATATTTTCTCATCTTACAATTAGCTTCCAGTGTTAAGATAATCAATCCTTTAGTGTTAAAATGATTTCAGTTATAATGATGATGATTAATGCGAAATTTAAGATGTCATATCTAATGTTTTCGTAATATTTCTGTAGGCATGAGATTTAAAATATTGTCTATAATGATGATATGTTAATTGTGCTTTGTTTCATTTTGCAGAAAATCGTGGTTGCACTCAGCTGCATTGCAGTTACATTGGCCTCTGATGGCTACTATCTTCAGCCACAAGTCTATGTTCATGAACAACCACGACATTTAAGTGAGCATCTGAATAGTGGCCTTGAATACGGAAATCATGCTGCTCGTGGATATGACCATGGAGGCCTGAGAAATCTGCAGCATTTACAGTCTGGCCATGGAGCTAGCAATTTCGGTGCTGGAAATGCCCACGCCCTCAGGGATCTCGCTGTTCAAAATCATCACGACCAGGGTGCCCATGCAGCTCTCCATTCAGCTGGAGCACAAGAAGGTCATATAAGAAAGGCCCATGACCGTGGCTTATACGAACGCGAAAAGAAGTATGGTTACGAAAAGGGTTACGGCTATGAACGTGAAACAAAGCACCACGACAGAAATCAGGACGCTCAGAGTTATGGCAGCGGCTACAAACACAATGAAAACAGAGACCATTACAACAGAGGTGCTAATGCTTTACGTGATTTGGCTTCCCATGGAAACAGATATCAGCATGGTTCCAATGCTTATGGACACAACAATGCCCTCATTGATGTCGCCGCCAACCACAATAGAGGAAGTGACATTTTGTCCAACTATGGTAGAGATTTCAAGCTCCGAGATTTGAATGTTGCACGTCCCCAGCCCGTTGTCGTCTACCAGCCTGAATACGTCCAGAAAAGTTATCTCCCAGGAATCGGCAACTCCTTAGACAGGTTTAGATACCTCAGCTTAGGTGGAATCAATGGTCTTCATGGCTTGGGTGGAATCCGAGGATACGGATTGGGATATAACCAAAGTCCTCTACAAATTCTGTCTCCTAGCCAATCGCATCTTGGTCTTGGCAGTTTAGGTGCCAGTAGCATTTGGTAAACTTAAGGTTTATAATGTTTGACATATTTCGGAAAGTTAAATGGACTTCTACTGTTGAGCCAGTGATGGGAAACATCTTTTTATATTCACAATAAATTAATTTTTCTGTCAATGCCCAAACGGTGTAAATACGTATAATAAAAAATTTTCTTTCAACATAAAAACGATGAAGTTTTTGAGTCATTTGTTTTTCCTTCATACACATTTCGTGATAATTATCCGTAAAGATTATTGTCGATATCTATTATTCCTGGAAGACAGATAACCTGGAAATTAGATTTAATAAAAGATGGTGGCTAAAGGTGAACTCTAAATGGAAATATTCAGGCATGAAATTTTTTTGGATTACAAAATGTTAATTCGATTAAATTTTATAATTCAACTGTTTCTATATTTTTTAATGATTTGAATTAAAAGTATTACGACATAATTCAATTATCTGAATAAATTGAATGGGGCATCATAAACGTGAAGCAAGAATCTGTGTTAGGCGTATATTTTTAGCATAGAAATTCTGTCGATTTCGAGAGCGAACAATGTGCCTCTTCATCAGGTGCAAATCGATAGAGTTTCTATGCTAAAACTCTAAGCATAACACAGGTTGTTGCTTATTTTTTATGATTTATTTCAGGCGTGTTTCCCTTCGTCTTGAAAGGGACATATTTTGAATAAAAGAAATTGTTTTTAGAATAATCGATAATCAGGCTGATATTCATAAAGAGATTAGAATTTAATCATTTCTAAATACATTATCTTAGAAATTAATATTATTTTATAAGAATAATTTTTGAATTTTTCTTTTAAAGCTTTTATACATCTTTAAAGCATGTAAAGGAAACAAAATGTATCCATAATTAATGTAAGCTTTCAAACGGGAAAAATGAGCAGCTTATATAAATTACTTGGGAGAAATGAAATAGATTTTTCAGTTTTATATGTACTCGTATTATAAACATATGAGTTTATAATAGCACGCTAATTTAGGATATTAATATAGTTATGAGATAGTGGTAACAGTGATATAGATAGTTAGTAATTGAATAACTGATTCATAGACAGATATAAACAGTAGCACTCACATTTACGTACATTTATATACACAAGACCTTACAGATAACTAAACAACTTCGAACGCGGTCGCATTGTAGGGTTGCTTGAAGCTGGGTGGTCATACCGAATAATAAGCCGCCACCTACAGCATACAGACAATGTTCTGCAAAGATGTTGGCAGCAATGGTTGCTACAAGGAAATTGCCGACGAAAAAGGCTCTGGAAGGCCAAGGAGCACAAATGCGAGGCAAAATAGGATGATTATTCGGCAGGCCCGAACCGTCTCCAACGGTATCATTGTCGACTATTCAACGCACTACAGCCACGTCTATACCTCCCGTGGTACCGTCCGCTATCTCACGGCGCTTGTCTGAGGCGGGTTACGCTCACAGAGGCCTTTAAGACGTTTGCCTTTAGTGGCTGAGCGGTAAAGACGCTGAACACTGGTAGTTCGGTCCGAGGTTCGAATCCCGCGTACGGGCTGGCTGCATGGGCGTTTTCGTGGTTTTCCCCATGTGTAACGTGTATACGAGCCAGTTTTCCTTAGAAAGGCATCCCTCTCTTTAGGTAAATAGCCCTCGTGTGCTTTGCCATAATTAAATAATCCAATCCAATTCAATCCAAGACATTTGCCTTTGACTCCACAATATCGGCGGAGAAAGATAAAGCCGTCAAATGTCAGCCTGAAGAAACTCAATTTTCAAATTTGGTCTTGATTAACTCTTAATTAAATACAAGACTGTGAAATGTATACAAGAATCCAAAGGGGAATGCTTTTGTGGAGAACTATGTAAGCAAAAATGATTCATATATACCTTGTCCATGGAAAAAATCACAATCTGGATAATCAGTCCATTCGTCATGATTCTAACAACCTGTTCAACTGTCTTACTCATTCGCTCAGTATTAGGCTCCTAAGTATTCTTGAAGGCATGCTGTTTTGGGAAGTCTGGTTGCCGTATCTTCGACCTGAGTTTTAATCTCGAAGAAAGCTGTAGCTTTCTCCCCTCTTCCGAAGATGTACTATCCTAGCCCCGAAACAGGTTTATCGCGGAGAAATATCGCTTTATCGCCTTTATAAAGGAGAGATAGATTCTGCTATTTTGACCAGTACTTGAAGAGTAAATGCTCGACCGATGGAAGGAGAAAAAGGTATTTCCGAAAATAAAATAACTTCGCTTCCCTCCCCCCCCTAAAATAGGCGACTTTTTTTTTTTTTTTTTTTTTTTTTTTTAATATGGCAAAGTACGTTATCTGCCTAGAGAAAGGGATGGCTTCGTGGAGGGCAGTCTGGAAACTGTCTTGTATTCAGCGTTTTCACTTTTACACATGAATTAAATCACGAAAACCTACAGCCAGCAAGGATCGAGCCTGAATCAAACTCTCAGTCTTCAGAGGTCTTAATTGAAAGAAACTTTCTGTTTTAAGTTTATTATCCTTCAACTTTGCTACGCCTTGAGTCGATTGTAATAATTGCAGTAATAAACACAACAGTTTAAATACTGTTTACATAAACTTTTATATTAATGTTTGTATCATTAATACAATAAAAAATGGTACTTTAATAGGTTTCTGATACGTAGTATTTCCACTAATGAATTGCACGTTGGATACTTTCACTATTATGAAGATTAGTGTTCCATCTTAAATCTTCTCTTCAGAACAAAGTTCGTTGCATCTGGGACTACGTAGTCGAACGAAGATGTATTAAGGGCCTCGCACGGGATTTACTATTTATTAACTACCAGCATGTCAATCTATAATTTTTATTAAATTAAATCTGAAAAAAAAAATGAATTCACTCTTCTCTTAAAAGAAAGAATTACTTTTAAATCTGATAAAAAAGAATTATTTTTAAATCTGAAAAAAAAATTAGCATTCATAAAATGAAATGAGAATAAAAATTTCAAACGAATATCCTAAACATATGTGCTGCAATTGTAACCACGTCAATCATAGTGGTATAGAAAAACATGCAGAATGTTCGCATTCAAAATGTCATGTCCATCATTAAAAATTATTTTTTCAAAACAGTATCTTCTAAGTTTAAAAGTAAATTCTTTTCTTTTTTTTCAGATTTAATTTAATAAAAATTATAGATTGACATGCTGGTAATTAATAAATAGTAAATCCCTTGCGAGGCCCTTAATACATCTTCGTTCGACTATGTAGTCCCACATGCAACAAATTTTGGTTCTGAAGAGAAGATTTAAGATGGAACACTAATTTTCATAATACTGAAAGTATCCGACATGCAATTGATTAGTGGAAATACTACGTATCAGAAACCTCTTAGAGTACCATTTTTTATTCTATTAATGATACAAACATTACTATAAAAATTTATGTAAACAGTTTTTTAATTGTTGTGTTTATTACTCCAATTATTACAATCGACTCAAGGTATAGCAAAGTTGAAGGGTAATAAATAAGGTTTTATAAGGATAACTTCTTACAATCGAAACTGTCATGAATTAGACAAAATACGTTAACAGTTTTAATAAGCAAACTGTACCGAATCTATAATTCATTTAAAAAAGTCTGAAGTGTACACCAAATGAATTCCTTATACGGAATATTAAATTATACGCCTTTTTTATTGCATTTCGTTTAAACGTATTGGATTTAATTAAATCTACTTCGCCGACAGCGCATAAACCACAATAGAATAAATGCATTCTTTAAAATTCATTCTATTTGTTTACCATAGCAACACTCTGGCGCTAGGTTCACTAATAGTTATTTTTTCGTTCATATTATAAGTTCCAAGTTACACTTTTGCCGAGATTATCAAGCATTCTGCTTGATGTGTTCCGGCTGTCATCAGATGTTTGCTCTTTGGGCGCTGAAAAGAGAATAAGTTCGAGGTGTGAGTCCAGAAGTGCAGGAGCTAATGGCGAAGGGGCGTGACCAATTGTGACGTGGGCTGCAAGCTGACTTATCATTGGTTGCGAGTCTTCTGATCATATTATAACTCAGAATGCACAAAATCTATATCATTTAAACAATTATATAATTGTTGTGACATGTTCTATTCAAATACTATAATAAAGCTAGAAAGATGTATAAAAGAAATTAAGCAAACAAAACAAAAAAGAAACAGTTGTTCACAGACGATTGAGTATTTCTCATTCAATTCAGTTCTCACTTCGCGACAAGGCAAAAATACATAAAAACTCAAAATATCTGTATTAAAAATTAGTAATTACTAAAAATTAAATTATTAAAAATTATGTAACTCTTAAATACTTATTTCCTCGAAAAAATTCCAGAAAGGATTAAGCATGATTTAATTTGCAATAATAAATGAAGGCGTTATCTTTTTTGTTGCGAAGCTACGTTTCTCTAGATTGGCAACAAATCCACTACTCTGCTGTTCCAAATGTAAACAAGCAATGGCCGCCATCAAAAAAATTATTAGGCTTAGCGGGCACTTAAACAACTTTAAAATTGTTGATAATCTAAGAATATGCATACAGATTTACTAAAGGCATAAAAACCTTAACCGAAGATAAGAACAACGTAATTCAATCATTTTAAAGCAAAAAAATGTACAATTTACAAACATATAAGAGTAAAGAAACTGAGATCACTGAGCCGGGTAACAAGTGGATATATATATAATATATTTATATACGTTTGGCGCGGCCGATTGCAACCAAAATACGAGGTGCACATCTTCTTGTTATAGTAGTCCTATATACAAAATTTCAACCTTCTTAGGCTACTCGTTTTTGAGTTATGCGAGATACGTACGTACGTACATACGTTCGTACAGACGCCACGAAAAATTCTCTTCAGAATTCATTTTAAAGCAGTTTTATAATTTTTTTGGAGGAAAAGAGTCTTTCATTCTGTCCCTTGCGTACAGGTATCAAGCAAAAACATCGTTAAATTGCATTCGAAAGTGGTCAAAAGGATATTTTCGTTGAAATATGCTGCCTGAAACTTTTCGCGATTACAATACTTCCTCTTTACTTCGTACAAGGAAGTAAAAATAGTATATAGATTAGAAAACGGAAATTTTATACGTATGTAGATAAGGTAAAATTCACGTTAATTTTTTAGTTATGACCTATAAGAATATTCTGTTTAAGCAAAAAGAATATAGTAAATTAATTATAAGTTTTTATTAAAATAAAAGTAATTAATATTAATAAAATGCAAAACTTGCTAAATACAAAAATTTTTTAAGATAAATGAATAGGAAGTACTCCTGTAGAACAAACACTCCAAAGTAATTAAATTCCAGTCAAACTTTTCCATTTGATTTTCAAATGACTGAACTTTGTCTTTGGGTATTTAATTTTTTCGGCCTATTTAAAATAAAAGTGGGAGAGTGAAATAATTTCAGGGCTCGTTAAGCTTCGAAATATTTTTTAAAATTTATTTAAAAATTAATATGTGCTGATATATAGTATCCATATGCACAGTGCAGTTATTATCTGGCTGACTTTCTAAAAAGATTGATTGCTGACTTGTTGTCATACACATATTAACATACTTATAACTTAACATGTGTACGACACTTGGATGTCATACATATATTAACTTACATAAGGGAAAAGAAAAACAATAAGAAGCTGTTTTAAAAGTTAATACATTATTCATTTGGCCTTCTCTCTTCACTCATTTTCTTTCTGTTCAAACCGAGTGCTCATTTAGCTAGCTAAGTTTTTCATATAAGTGTTTCTTTCAGAAATGTTTGGATGCCTGAAATATCTGAAAATGTTTTTCTTTCCAAAGGACAAGTGTTCTTCTCAACATATCATTAAGAATCTACTAAATTAAGTTTCTGAAAAAAAAAAAACTTAAATAGATTTATAAGAGAAACTGTATAAAAATACTTTTTTTATTAAAGCTATATCCTCCCCAAACGGAATCCCCTCTCATTGCAGCTTAATAATTTTTTCAACGTATTTTTTTGGTAAATGTTTATTTTGAATATGGTTTTTCAGTAATTATATAGCAAGGTATTTAGTAAAGATTTTTTTCAGTGGTGATCTTCTTGACTGAATTAGTCTTTTCTTTGAATAAGATTTCTGATTAAAAATATTTGATCAAAAGTTAATGTCAAATATCTTTGATCAATGGTTTACAGCTATTTCTAATATACGCAGATATATTCTCAATGAAATCGATTTGCATATGGTTGTCCGCATTTAAGTAGAAAATTAATACTGCTGTAAAATTATTAATGGCTGTTTGAATTTTAGTTCCAGTTACATCACTAGCATTATTTAAGAGTCATATGATAGATATGGATTAATCTCGAGATATGGATTAATCTCGGAATAAGGCAACGCAAAAAAAAAAAAAAAAAAAAAAAAAAAAAAAAAAAAAAAAAAACTTTTCCTAGAATAGGGAGAGGAAATACTAAATTAAAACTAAGCATTAAAGGAATATTGCTAATTTAACTGATATATTTACATATAATTTTTAGTCTTATATATTGAAATCCCGGTTTCCCCGCGTAGTTTCGTATCCTACCGGCTTCACATCTTCAAGTCGATAGGATAAAATCTTCATTCAAAATGAGTTAGTTTGGATTCTCGATGTATTTGATTGGATAGGTAATACTGCTTTAAAATTATTATTGGCTGTTTTAGTTCTATTTACATCACCAGCGTTATGCAAGACTCATATGACACGTATTAGTTTTGAAAGGACGCAGTGCAGGAAAAGATTACTATTTTAGAATAGAGAGGGGAATACCAAATTAAAACTAAGCATTAAGGGACTATTGTTAATTTAAATTCTAATTTATACTTACATATATACGTGAATATATATATATATATATAACTACACATACATGAAGGTTACATGTCGAAGAAGAAATAAATTTTTAGAACTTATTCCACAGAAAACACCTTCATGCACGTGTTTCGTAACAAAGCTATTCATGTAGTTGATATGCCGGCCATAAATTAAACTTATAAAAATATTTAATAATTTTACACCTTCTGCCAATATTTTATAAAGAAAAATAAAATCCATTTAATACTTAACTGAAATTAATAGACTCTATGTTTTAGTTGTTCGCCTACAGTCGACTCGGATTTGATTCAACAGTTTTTCAGTTTTTCTTTCTGTAATATTTACTACGTTTCTATTATTATTTAATGACAATATGTTGCATGAATTTTGAGACATAATGCAAGTGAAGGGCATTCAATAAGTTAATGAAAAAGATTTAAAATACTTAAAAAATTATTTTTTAAGAAAAGTGTGCCAATCTAGACAGTTTTATACTGAAAAGAAACATGGCAATATCAAATATGAAAAAGACCTTCTACTTCAAGGAGCAAAATTACTCTGTCGGCAGAAAGCATTTTGAAGTCTGAAGTCTTCTTGAAAAGGCAATATTTTTTACCTTTCAGGCAGATCCATGCTTATCTTTCTGGAAATTTATAGAATTTTCATAAGGAATTTAAAGTTGACTTTTGTCTCATTTTAACTAGACACTTAACTAATTACTTTAACGGAAAATCTTCAGAAGAATTTGTTTACTAAAATCTTTCAGATCAGTAAAATATTAATGCTTGAACTAAAGAAAATAATCAATGAATTATAATAAAATCTATATGTGCAGTTTTATTTAAGTCGATATATTCTTCACATACCTTCTGTTCTAGTATTATTATCATGGTAGTGAGTATCATAATAGTGTTTTAAAAATAAATAGTGATTTAAAAAGAAGTTATTGACCTTGAGCAAATATTATAGAAATATAGCTCTTTTGAATTTAGTCCGAATGAATCGGAGGCGTATGAATAAAATGGCCGTAATTAATTTTCATCAGATGTTAAACGGATTTATGTAATTATTCAGTCGAGTTATATCGAAGAGCACATCTATTTTGTGTATATTAATTTATTCACTTGAAAATTATTTATTTACATTCAGATGTATTATGACTATTTAATTTCAATAGCTTCTTTGGTAGTTAACATCTGAAGAAGGAACTTAATTCAGTAAAGCATAGCTCCTTAGATAAAAGAGTTAAAATTATTATTATGAGCAATAAAAAAGAAGCCGCAGCTTCTATTTTATACAGTTGTTAATTTCGAAGACCCTATCGAAGTATTTTATTCAACATGTGTACCGATAAAATCTCAAATTCCACAATTGATAAAATAACTATATGTCTATATATATGTCTTTAACTTTCTATATGTCTGAATTGAAATTTGATTTATCAGTGTCTCATACATTTCAAATTTTTATGGTTTCCAAACTCATGATTTTGAACCTTCTGCACTTCTCAAACACTTGTAGACGTAATTTTAAGGTGTTTCAATTCCTTTGATATTCTAACTGTCGAAATTGTCTGATTTCGCTTTGGTAAATTGAATACGAAGTAAAATATTAAAAATTAGAATGAAACAGGCAGGATGTGAAATTGCAGAAAAATCTTTTTTTTAATATTTTATTCTTTTCCATTATCTTTTCTTAAAAAAATTTAATTTTTGATCTACAGCTTGATAGTACATAAAGTACCATTAAACGTTCATTACATAACATATTGTCAAATTAAGTAAATAACATGATAGTAAAATATAATTTTCATACCAACCATTTTCAAAAAGCATTCAGCACAGCACATTATTTTATCTTTAACATTTCTGATTCCCAACATAACGCAAAATGATATCAAGCAAAACATCAGCCTTTCTGATGAAGTGATTATAAACTCGTTATTGCTCTAAGATAATACTGCATATCTGTTCTCCGACAATTAATCGTTATGTACTGCTGCGACTATCCCAATTAACGCTTAATGCTTAAAATTTTGAAATAAAATTTCTGCTTCTAGTAGAAGCAATTTAGTGAAAATGTAATTTTCAATAACTTAGAATTATCCCTCGACGCTGTGCCTATATTTAGTAACTGGAAAGAAAATATTATGGGAAATCAGGTCGTCCATCGCCTTGTAAGTGTACTGAACTCTGCGTATGCAATGCATATCAAAGCTAGTAACTCGTTGAGGAATCTTGAAATTCATCATTTTGAATAAAGTTTATTTTAAGAAACTTATAATGCCAGATTTCTTGCTGCCTAAAAATTTACCAGGAGTGAAAAATGTAAGTTTTCAGTACTTAACTGAAATTGTTTAGGTTACGCTTTGCTTTCATTTTTAGCAAACCAAAGACAAAATGAAAAACATAAATGTGTGAAAATTTTCACATTTCTTAACATAAGTGGAACAATAAACAATCTTCGTAAGATCTTTGTACGAATATCTTATTTTTTCTCTCAAAGATCTGAAAGGATATGAGAGTAATATTTTGATGATAATAATCTTATTCTGCAATGTAGGACTTCTAATCATAGAATCAGGTTCTATTTTCTGGGGTGATATCTATTGATGTAACGCTCAGATCTTCGGCCTTCCGCATATGTAATTCCGAGAGGTTTATCTTGTGGTGTTGCTACATGCGAAGATGGAGGTGGTAAATCTTCTTCTTCATCATTCCATCCTTCTTCAGGTTGAGATTCGTCTCTGTCATTATAGGTTGGCTTATCTTCAAAGTCGCTTCCGCCTCCGTTACCTTTTATGTTCAGAAAGTCTAGAGGTATAGGCATAAAGGACACACTTTTCAATGCGTTCGCTATCTCTATTGAAGTCAGTTTTAGAGGCAGGATTTTGATGGTCACCGGAGTCAAAGCTGACGCTGATTTATGAAGATGGTTGTTAGAAGACGGATTATAGTTAGAATGATTTGGGCTATCGTTTGGATTGTGAGAATGCCTTAGGTTATCTTTGTTTGGATTGTGGGAATGCCTTAGGTTATCTTTGTTTGGATTGTGGGAATGTCTAGGACTATTGTTTGGACTGTGCAAATGCCTTGGACGAATCTTTTGCTGATGATTGCGCACAGCAGGAACAAGAAATCCCGTAGGTAATTTTATTGCTTGTTCCATCAAAACGAAATGGGGTTGCTCGAAAGGTTTCTGCTGAGGTAACAGACGTAGATTCTGTTGAAGTTGTCTGAGCTTCAACGCGATGTCTAGATCCAGTTCATCAGTGGGATGAGAGTTCTGAATATTTGTCATAGGATGCAACTGTGAACTTTCCCCTAGAAGATAAGAGCTCCGAGCTTTTCGATTCGCGTTAGTAGGGAAATTTCTTGCAGATCTCGGAATGAAATGATTAAAACCAAACCACCCAGAAGAAGGTGAATCACGTCTATAACTATTCTGCCACAGTTGCTCATTGAATGACAAAGGTAACAGTTGAGTGGAAGGAGCTCTTATGAACAATGGTGAAAGACTGTCTGCTGCAGCTTCGAAATCATCAAATTTTGATGTTCCTGCACGAGCTATGTATTCCGAAGCTGATTTCTGCAGAGATCTGACAATAAGAGGAACATCAGAAGAACGTAACTTGGGAATTGGTTGAAAGCCTTCTGTTAGCAAAATCCATGGCAGAAGTAAGATGAAAATCTGTAAATAACAAAAAAATGTGTTATTCAAATGGCAACAACAAAAAAAGGTGCGGTGCAAATTTCAAGCTCTAACTGGACAGTATCTGCAATAATCAAGAAACAAACAAACAAACAAACAAAAAAAAAATGTGTTCAAAATGCAATCAAGATTTACTACTTTTAATGTCATTCATCTGGCCTCAGATAAAATATGAAAACTTTTATAAAAGGAATGTGTTTAGTCAAAGGTCGTTTGTCTTTATAAGTCATTTCATAAAATTAGAAACTCACATTTCATTTAAGATCTCTAAATAATTAAGAAATCGAAACAAAAATACCGATAAAAATTATTTTGAGCAGTTATGCTTTAACAGAGTCCTTTGTTTACTACGTAATAAAACAAAATAATTTTAGTTTATCAAATTTCCCTTTTCTTCTGCATAAAAATTCAAAGAATTTGCACAAAGATTGTAAATTTTTCTATAAATCTGCTTTTCTTCGAAGTACATAATTCAAGGTCAAACAATATAAATCTTTGTCTGAAAATCCTTATTAATTTGTGAATGCGAGTTTAATATGTCTTGTCAAATATGCATATTCATAAAAGCTTTTTTTTTTTTTTTTTTTTTTTTGTAAATTCTTCTAAGGTGCAACTTACTAGAGGGGAGAAATAGGGTTACTTCTTTGTGAATCATAAGAAATCCGCAGATATTAGATACATGTACCATTCTCAGCAATTAATATTTTAGGGTAGCAAGTAGTATTGATATTTCTCAGCGAAACGATGACCTAAGTTATCTAAACATTTCTTAGTTATGCAATGAGTAATATATAAAGAATTCTGTTTCTAAGCATTGATTCTATATTAGCTCTATTCATCTACATGATCTAGTTTTATAACATATATAGTGCATAAAATTTTGCTCATTAAAACAGTCCAGTAAAAAATAAAATTTTTCATTTCTTCTTACTATTTAATGTGAATTATTAACCAGTTTACTGAAATCTTTAGTAAAAGGTGAAGATGCGTGATGAAACTGAAGTTAACTGGTCCTATGAATTCACTTTGTAGACTTGAACTTTCATTTATAGCAGATCTCCGCTAGTCATTTACAGTTCAGTTTAGAAATGACCATCAAAAAGAAGTTAAACTATTTTATAGCTATTTAGCTTGGGTCCGTGACACTTAGCCGACAACCACTTTGCTGACGGGACACTTAACCGACACCACTTAGCCGACAGGACATTTAGCCGACACGGACACTTAGCCGACAAGGACACTTAGCCTACAGGACATTTAGCCGACACGGACACCTAGCCGACAGGTCATTTAGCCGACACAGACAGTTAGCCGACAAGACATTTAGCCGACAAGGAAACTTAGACGACAGGACATTTAGCCGACACGGACAGTTAACCGACAGGACATTTAGCCGACACGGACAGTTAGCCGACAGGACATTTAGCCGACAAGGACACTTAGCCGACATTTAGCCGACACGGACAGTTAGCCGACAGGACATTTGGCCGACACACAGAGTTAGCCATAAGGACATTTAGCTACGGAACACTTACCTGTCAAGACATTTAGTCAACAGGTTACTAAGCCGACAGTGACGTTTAACTGACACGTACCCAAAAATTATTTAAACTACCAATTACAAAATTTCTCTACTACTCCATAAGTTCAATATTTAAGTCATTTTCTTCACTTATCAGTAAAATTCATTTTTCGATTCTTAAAGATATCATATTAATTTATTGTGTTAATTTAGCATTGTTTGATATGTATCGTGCTGTTTGGTGTTCATTGGCCAAATTGAAAAAGCGCTGAAATTTCTCGAAAAGGAATAAAACAAAACCTTAAAGAATATTTTACTTCTAAATTAAACATTATGCACTAGTTTAGGGCTATAAACATTAACCTAAGTAAGTATTTCAAACGAGAGACGTGGTCAATAAAATGTTACAGAATTTTTATCTCAAGAATGGTGGCATGAACTGCAAATTATAGAGGTCGCAAATAATTTATACCTTTGCTTGTCTTAAAAATTCACTTTTTTTTTAATTGTTTTTAATAACAAAATAAAATATATTTGCTCGACTAGCTCTCACCACCATATGTTTCCATAAAAAATACAATTCAAGAATAACAATAATTTTTATTGCATTATTCAGAATTTTCATGACAGGGAAAGAAAATTTCATTAGTGGGAAGAGCCAAACGATTTTGTAAGAGAAAGAATGTAACATGATGTGATGTGTAAAATAGTAATGAAACGTAAAGGTATTCAAAATTTGAAAGCATTTGGAAGAGCGAGATTGGAAAATTAATATCATTAAGTAAACAAGAAAAATTATTAATGAAGTGTAAGTGTTCAAAAGAACCCAGTTAATTAAATGAAGGAGCTTCATGAATAATTTTTGAAGATCTCACATTAAAATGTAATTAAGTGACCGCCGTACTTAGCTAAAAATTTTTTTTTTCCTTTCGAAATTTCATTCATATTCCCTGACGCGAAAATTCAGCGCTTTATCAATTTCGCCAATATACACCAAACAGCACGATACATATATGAACCTTATAAGAGATAGACTAACCCAGTGGGCGGAGCGTGCGTCGCCCACATGTCCGTAAGAAAGAATAGGGACGATCTGGCTTACTTTAACACGGAAACCGCTAACGTTAGTATCACATAACTGTTTTTAATTATTAAATGTGATAAGTTGTATAAGTGAAGAGATTATGAAAGTCACAGTTTTTGCAAACAATATTAAAAATATCTCATAAAAGCACTTTTTACTGCATTTTGCGGATTTTTTTTCAAGCGTAATTCTTGTATAAATTTCTTTACTTTAGTAAAACGGTAAAAATTCTATTGCAAAACTTATTAACTTATTTTTGTGTACAAATAAAGTAAAATTAAATAATACTGATAGCATATGATGCTTTGAAACAAATAAGGTAAAATTAAACAAGATCTGCTAATTTTCTTTGATTTTATGAGCATTTTCAGGCAGTAGTTTTTAAAATTATTATAGCATAACAGGACGATCATTTATTTGATTATATGATAATTAATTATTAACATTACAGGATGATTATTTATTTTAGTAATTCATAAAATTCGGAGCATAAACATTTTTGAGTGCAATGAGGCAAAAAAAAAGATAAACTCTGGAAGCACTCTGCAATATAATTTTATATTACGCCCAAAGGAGCGTTTTTGTAACGTTTTGCGTGGTTCCTTTATTTATTAAACATGTTCTTCGCAAGTAAACCACATAAAATTTAATTCAAGAACAATATCACAAAATATTTGAAAATGACATATCTTTAGAATTTCCGCGCTGGAGATTGTTATTTTCTGTACAGGGTTGTCATTGCTTGCTTTAAACTCGTTTAGTTTCTTAATCAAAACTTCGTTAAAGTTACAAAATATGAAATGGATTAAAACAAATTCGAAATTAGGTCGTCCAGGTGCCCATGCTCGGGTGGAGGATTACGTTATTCAAAATTTTATGGTTCTAAATTCTGTTGTTTTTTTCACAGTGCGAGAGAAACATACATGCATTCATGCAGATTCTTCATTATATAATTTCTTTAAATTTAATACAGGGCGATAATATTTGGTGGCAACAGTTTGCAAAGTGAAACGGACATTTATAGTGAAATAAAGCAAAATGCCGTTTCGAAACTAATAGCTTTTCTGAGCTGCCGCCCCTTTGGGTTAATAAAATAAATTAGCAATAAATAAGAAAACTTATGCAGAACTAGACATAAATTAAAAAATAATCACTATAAAATACTAGCACAATTAATTATTACAGTTAAATACAATTTTTCACATTAGAATAAATGCATAAAAATTATTAAATTGTTAAAAGTGTTAATCACTATGATGTATTAGAAATATTATTGAAATAAAACTCCTTTGTAGAATATTATGCTATAATATTCAGATATACTTTTAAAAAAGTAGTACAAATAAGAATTTTAAGCAAAAACTTTCAAAAATCCATTTTTTTCGATTTTAGTATTTTTTACTTATTTACACCAATAAAAAGCATAAAAATTGTAAGAGAAAATTGTTTGTTTGAATTTTTCTATTACTTCAGATTTAAAGTATTATTTTTTAAAAGAAGGAGATACAGATTTCCTTACAGCATAGGAAAAGCTAAAAAAATATCCAGACCTGAAAGCATGTAACAGCTTTATAATTATTTAGAACATTAATTACGCTTGATAAACATACTAAATTTTTAAAAATCAATCTCAGTTTCTAAAATAAAAATATTTAAAAATTCTAAATTGTGAAATGAGGTGCTATCACCAGCATTTTCTTGAAAATTATACGCGCTGCAATAGCCAATTATTGTTAAGTTTCTGCAAGTTGTCCCTACTACTCCGGATGTGGTCAAGGTGACAGCCGGCAATACGCCACGGCAAGGGAGAAAACCCATTTGGGTTGGTCTGTTTCTTATAAGGTCCATGGATACATATCAAACAATGCTAAATTAACACAATAATTAAAAGTATATATGAGATCTTTAAGAATCGAAAAATGAATTTTACTGATAGTGAAAAAAATAACTTAAATATTGAACTTACGGAGTAGTCGAGAAATTTGTAATTGATAGTAAGTTTGAATAATTATTGAGTATGCGCCAGCTAAACGTTACTGTTCGGCTTTGTGTCTTGTCGACTAAACGTGTTGATAGTTAAGTGTCCTGAGTTAAATTCTTGACGGCTAACTCTCTTGTGTTCAGCAAAATGTCCTGTCGACTAAATGTTCTGTCGGCTAAGTGTCCTTGTCGGCTAACTGTCCGTGTCGGCTAAATCTCCTGTCGGCTAAGTGTCCTTGTCGGCTAAGTGTCTTGTCGGCTAACTGCCCGTACCGGCTAAATGACCTGTCGGCTAAATGTCCAGTCGGCTAAGTGTCAGTGTCGGTTAAATGTCCTGTCGGCTAAGTGTCCCTGTCGGCTAAATGTACATGTCGGCTAAGTGTCCCTATCGGC